TTCCTTTTATACACATTTACCTATTTTCACAAAACCAAAAGGTACATAAGTTATCTATCCCACTTGCACTTACAGCTTGGTTGTATAAGCCTTATTTCCTTAGGCAGCAAACCTAAAAATTCACAGGCAGGTAGATTTAAAAAAAATAAATCAAGCCTTTTGGATTAATACAGCAATGATAGTCTGATAGTACTTTACAGCAGGTGTATTCTCCAAGGAGGGAGCATTGGCTCATTTTTCCAGTGAAGTCTAGCATTTAATTTGGAAGTCTGCCTGATGGTGACTGATACCAGATCTTTCACAGGAGAAAAGAGAATCACTCTGATGGGCAGCTGATACTTGGTGAAAGCCTTATGCCCTGAAGCATGAAGGTTTGTATGTCTTGGAAGTTGTATACCTTTATATGTGGAGTTGGTTAACTATAGGCGATGATATCCCTAGTGATGAATTTATATATTTTTTTAAAATCTTAAACTCTTGCTGTTAGTGGCATAGTGAGTTGAATAATTTCATAGGCTGAGTACATTTTAGAAAATGTCTTTGGTTTCTAAGTTTAGCACCTTTCCATTTTCCTGGTCACCTTCTGGCTGTTTCTGAAAGGTAAATGAGAGTGTTCAATGTATTGCGGCTGCGGTGTTTGTCAAGTGGGATATTTTGGACTTATACTTCATCAGCATTCCCAATCATTGACCATAAAACTGTGCTCTTCTGAGCAACTGTACTTAAAAGTTGACTGTGTTAAAGTTAATATTTCTGAGTTGGCAATTTTCTTTTTTGTTTTCATTTCACTTTTATGCTAAAGTTTAAGCAGCTTTCTGCACTGTTTCTTTCATGGCTACTCGAACAACGCATTGAAGATTGATGTGACATTTCAAGTTGACATGTAATAATCTTGATTATTGTTGAAAGCCTTTTTGATGCATGCTGAAAGGAAGTTAGTGAGCTTAGTTTGATGTTACTGGAGAAGAAGTTTGACTACTGGAGAAGAACTGTGAGAGGGATACTGGAAAAAAATTAACATCTAATTCTTGTTTAATCTCCATTTTAAAAGTTCAAAATAACACTTTTCGAGTGATGTGTAATCTATAGTTTTAATTTCCTTTTCTAAGGAAACAAGTTACTTGCAATTATGCTTTCTGGCAATTCCTCTGACAATTGTTAGTCGCTTTAATGTGCTGGTAAACTGCAGCCACCTTGGACAAAGGGATAGTTCCTACAAGTTATGTGGAAGTGATTCCTGTGGAGCCGAAACGAGACTCTCTTAGTGCCACTTGTGGTAAGAACTCAACCCTTATTACACATTAGAGCAGCTCTACAGGCAAGAGGGTTTATGAATGCCCGAATTAGAAGAGGCTTTGCTCTCTTACCTTCTTAGATAGGAGAAACACTTGGTGATGAGACACGTTTCAAAGAAACTTTGAGCATCGTAATGAATTGTTTGATACAGGGTTGTTTAAAGCAGTCATTCCCTTTATCAGAAGTTTGAGTTCACACTACATTTTTTTTTTTTTTCCTAATGTTTCATTTAGGTAGTTTGCCTGAAGCAGAGTAAATGCCTTTTTTTTTTTTTTTTTTTTTGACTCACTTGTGATAATCACTTAAAGTCTGCTGATACAGAGCTGCTCTTTCACAGGAAGCTAGGATGACTTAACAGTGATTGGGGCATCAGAAACGTTTTGCATATCATTTCATAGTGTCTTTGAATGCATCTAGGAATTGATATATTGGATTAAAAAAAAAGTTTTTTGTTTTCATTTAGGCGTAATACTTTCTAGGTTATGTGTACCCACTGCACAGGAGATTTTACCTTGTAAATATTTATATACATAAAGGTCATTAGTTAGTCTTCTAAAATGTTCATTATGGTTATCTTTCAGAGATTATGTGAGCTGCTGCATTAGTCTTCTAACATCTTGCACTGAGTACTCATGGTATGTCTGAAGGACAGATCTCCTGTGTGTTCTGAATGTACCAGGTAAATCCCAACAATAACTTTTCATGGGAGATTGTGACCTGTTGAAGAGTAAGAAGTCAAGAGAGGGCAACTTTTATTCTATATTTAGTCCTAGTTGGCTCTGTAAAATGAGCCTGACAGGCTGTAGCCTAAAATTTATTTTTGTATTTGTGTGTTATAGTAGAAAATCAGATAACTGCAACACTAATGCAACTATTTGCAACACAAGTGAAGATGCAGTGTGCCAGTGGGACTTAGCCAGTTTCTGTACATACCTTTAAAACTTTGCTCAGCATTTCTGATGCTTGAGGTAAAGCAGAAGGAGGGAAAATAGTGATATTTTTCAGGTAGATAATTCCCCTGTCAAATCCCCTGCCTCACCTTTTTGTCTGAGAGGCAAAAAATGGATGCAGCCGTGACCTTTGAGAACAGTTTGATTGCCTTTCAATGGCAGTGGTGTTACAAGAGGTACTCTTCAGCAGCATTGGTGAATAAAGTCTTACCTTGACGTAATTCTGGCTAGCATATTGGATTGTAAGTAACTAATGCTACATCCATTAACCTAATTTAATATTTCATTTTCAGGTTGTCCTCATGAGTACTCCAGTGGAGAATGTCCATGATCTTCTTTGCCTGTGTGGTGCGGGTGAGGGATGGACTTCCCCTCTCAGCCTCCACAGATTTTCATTTCAACCAGGACTTTCTGGAGTGCAGAAAGAGATTAAAGGCTTTGTCCTCAATTCTGGCGCAGTATCCAAGTCGAGGCACGGCAAAAGGACGTGACCTTAGCATACAGTAAGTCCCTTCTTTTGCTTGTTTGTTTTTTTACTTTAATTTTTGAAATGGTTGTCCTGGGGATTAGTTGAACTTTAAGGATTAGGTATGTTCTATAGCACCTAACTGAACTCTGAAATCCCAGCATGCATGTCTAGTTTGTAACCTCCAAGCAGTATTTTGAAACCTTATTTCTCAGCACCACAGGCACACAGCTCGCACCCAGTTTAGTTTAGTAAGCATATGTTAAGAATTGCTTATTTTAGTTGTCACTTTTTGTAGCAAATGCTTTCTGCTTGATGGGCAGTACTTGTTACTATTGGCAATTGGAGTATCTTGGACTTCTACAAACACCTTCTAAGACGGCATCCTAGTGCCTAAGAATTACTTAGTTTAGTCTAAACCCCAAATCCTTTTCTTCAGGGATAGTCAGGTCTTGCTGATGCCTTCTTTCGGGCCCCTACAGTTCTGATCTGGCTTGCACAGAACTGCCCTGACTCCCTCCTATGTACTGCCCACTCCATTTTCTGAATACCACCAGGGTTCAAGTCTCTAGAAGCTCTGGCTGATGGGTGTGTCTTGAGGAGGCTTGAAGCATACTGACAATAGCCAGTATGGAGAAATTGTAAATCTTTGCTTTTATTTATTGGAGAAGGATGTGCTTGTCTTTATTTTAAGAAATTAAGGTTTCATTTGGAGATGAGAATTTTCATTTACTATTCATTCTAGTTTAGTTCTAAAAATGAGTTTTAGCTTGTGATTGCATTTCTGGCTAGCAGAAGTAAGAAAACTTAGAGACCCTGAGCTAAAACTAAGTATCCTTTTTTGGGGGAGAGATTGGAGAAAGAAGATCCATGAACTTGCACTGACTCAATTGGAAAAGCAGAGATTAGCATTTTAATTCCTTTTCCCTCAGAGTGCCCTTTAATGCTAACATGTTCTGCTGCTTTTAATCTTCTGTAGTCTCTACAGAAGTAGCTATGCATCTGACTCTGAAATGAGAAGAGTGCAAACAGATATGTGGCAAAAAGGCTATAAATTATTGACAACTGGGAAAAGGTAGTTTTTACGCAGGCATGGTGTTGTTCCTCAGCTGTGAGCTGGGGACAAAAGTAATTTAGGGAATGTACCCAGTGTAACTAGGCTGTAACAGAGCTAATCAAAACCATAAATCCCAAGTACGTAGTACAATGAATAAATAAAAATGTGATAAAATAGAAACCACAAGTATTTCTATATAAGAGGGATGAAATATATAAATAGTAGAAAAGAGAAAATACAGAGAGAGTAATTTTTCAGCTTCAAAACATTGGTTTTATACTGAAATATTGCTAACAAATGGCTAACCTGCAAGGGAGGATTTCCTTGGTCTTCTTTCAGAGATAATTACAAATCCGTAGTTATGGTGGGGATTGTGGAAGTTTAGTTATCTACATTATGAGTGCTGACATCTGAACTTGGTGCCCTGACTCCCATTTTATTTAATGAAGCCTAGATGAGAGTGATCTCTCTCATCCTTAAGTACACACCTACATTTTGGTCAGATGAGTGCCCTGTTAAGTTTCCTGGAAGTTTTTGTCCATCTGTAAGGAGAAACTTCTGCATAAATATGACTTCAGTGTTAGAGGGACCCCTTTTGGAGTAGAATTTTTATTGTGCTGTTTCTGACACAAACTTGTCTTTATTACAGATGGCTTAGCAGTAACAGTGTTTGAATATCTTGGTTTGTGCAAGTTAACAAATATCTCTTGCTGTTAACATGAAGTTGTCATATTCAAGGGGAGGAAGGAATATATTTACTTGCTTACTGATGAATGAGCTTGCTTGTTTTTACTTTTGTTTGTGGAAAGCCACTGTGTTTTCTTTCAAAATCATCTTGCCTGTGATGTTTTCTGGCCATCTCTTTAGCATGATGTGAAGCCAGCCTGGGAAAATAATGTCAATTTTCACTGATGTAGCAATTTAATAAAATCTGTGTTGTGATCTTTAGTGTGCTAAGGCATACTGAATGAGGTAAGAATAAGTGTTAGATCTACAGGGGCTGCAGGACTATGACAGCAGTGTGAACAATATATTTTTTGCAGTCTGCTCTTTCAGTGCAGCCTGTACATTTTGTTTTGACAGAAAGCACAGTTTACTTCTCATGTTCAGTATGACTCTTTTACCTTTTAATGTTGATGTTACATTTTTTCTTTTTCTGTTTCAGTTTCCTTTCTTCTGGGGATATTGCCTGCATGGCAATCTGTTCCAGCAATTACTCAACCATCATGGCGTTTTGCTTCTTGGAAGAGCTTCAGTGGGAATTTGCTGCTTCCTACGATACAACAAGCATCAGTTTAGCTTCCAGACCATATGCTTTTCTTGAATTTGGTTTGTAACTTTTGTTCTCTAATAGTAAGAATTCTTTGTCTGCTACTTTTATGATGTTAAACAATGTCTTCTGGCCAAAGCCTGACCATAAAAGTGTATCTCTGTGTGTGCCTTTGCATGTATGTGTAGGAGGAGATCTTGTAACTGCATTAAACTATTAGATTATTGGTTTTGCAGTTCCTGAGAGTCCCTGTAATAGATGAACAAAATGCTATGGTGATTAATAAACAAGCAGAAAAGAAAAAGAAATCCACATCTCGAACACTTTCTAACTTAATTAAAAAAAATACCTGACAAGTGGAGACAGATGGGTACAGGAAAAAAGGGAGACAGAATAGATTATTATGGGCAGCTTTACTTCTGGCATGACTTAGATTCACATAATACTTCATAATCATGCCTACTGTTTCTTTTTTAACCTGATATAAATGGTTTTCTTGCCAAGTAGCAGCTGCTATACTGAACCTTGCACCTTTGAAAAACACAATTCCCTTGCAATGAGAAGCTGTTTTCTGGGAAAGGATAAGATATGGCAGTGGGTTAACACACTTCTATCCAGATTTTGGTAACAGTGTTAAGCCCATGCTTAAAAGATTGAGAAATCCACAAGGAAAGTGTATTATAGAGCCATCTTGTATTTTGGGTGGATTCCCTGCAGGGCACATTCCAGTCATGATGTAATTTTATGCTGAGATCCAAATGACTCCTTTTTTTTTAACTTGAGTAGGAATTTGGGAATTTCTAGCCTCTTTTAATTGCATAAGGCTCTTTTAAAAGAAAAAATGCTTTTTTTTTTTTTAAATTTTACTATTATACAGTATTTTGTTAATGAGTCTACCTAGTGTTGATGTGTGGTGTTTTTTTTGTTTGTTTGTTTGTTTTTCTCCCTCCTGTGTTTGCACCTAAGATGTACTTGTTTCCTAAGATCTTAGCCTTTCCCTGGTAGTTACAGATAATTACAGCAGGCTGACTTAAGGTAATATACAGGATTTTTCACTAAGGAATGCTTATGGCACTGTGTATTCTAGCACAACATAAAGTCCTCCTGTGTGGTCTCAAAACTCAGGCTTAAGCTATTACACATTTATCACATCCACAGTCCTAGCTGTGGTCAACCTATGCAAGTCTGCTAGTGTAACAATATCTTAAGGATACTGATTTTACTCATAGGATATCTTAGCAAAATAAATGTTTCTGCATTTTATTTTCCTAAGCATTTGAAATAGCTTGAATTTGCCAATATCTTTGCACAATTAAATAGGAAGTAGCAGTATCCACAGTGAGGTACTTCATTCCGGAGGTGTGAGTAATTCATACTTGGACAAATTCTCTACTTAGTCTCAGAGCAACTCCTGTCAAACTAGCAGCCACATTTGTGGAAAGGGATTTGCTTGCAAATGGTATTAAGTTTAAAGTGTGAGAGATGAAGCAGGGTGATCTGTACGTAGATCTGTGGCTTGGATGTTGGTGGAATCACTGTGGAATTGCCTCTGCCAGTCAGAATTGCTTCATGACTCAAATATATGCTGAATTATTTTATCTCCATGCTGGAAAAAAAATAATCATTGACATTGTTAAAACACAATGGTAGTTCATGGGTAGTTTAAGATATGTGTTACATCAACCCTGGAATATGAAAGCTTGTTTTCAGTCCACTGGTAGGCAGTATGTTGAGATTTAAAGTGTCCAGAAGAGAGTGGGTGCGATATAAAATACCTAGGAGAGGTATTTTTTGTTCCCATTCCAGTGGTGGAATTTTACACCTGAAACTAATAAGAAATGAAGGAAGAAAAGAAAAGCAATCAGAAAAGAATGCCATGATTTGATTAATAATTATCTAAGGCACTTAACTTTTGCAGAGCTGATTGAAGCATGTTTTTATATTGTTTCAGATAATGTTATTCAGAAAGTGAAATGCCATTTTAACTGTGCAAGTGGCTCTCAAATGAAGGCCAACTGGGAGAAGATTGAGGAGGAGCTGAAGTTCCGGCCCCCGGTTCAGCTGAAACTGGAGGATACAGAGCTGATGAATGGGATAACAAATGGTGGGCATGCAGGTGTTCATGTGGAGGTTGGTAAGTTACTACTACGCACAGGTGACAGTAGACTTCCTGAACCTAACTTTGCAAATGACAGAAAAACATGTAACAGCAGTGGCTCCCTTTGTACTGAGAAATATATGTATCGTGTATGAAACCCAAGAAAAAAGTCTGCCTTTCTAGCATAGTAAACAACATATGGTCTTTAGATTATAGCAGGTATGCATCAGAGCCTTTAAGGACTTGTGGTAGTGTCTTTTTTCCCAGCCTTAGATCAGGTTCTCTGTATGGACAATTGGTTGTAAATGGACTTGGCATTTTCCATGTTAAATTCTCATGCTTTTAAAGTAGTTCTTTTGTCATAGAAAATTTAACAAACAAGCTCAACTAATTCATTGCTTGTTGCAAACTCTAAGAGAAGATATGTAATTACAGTCTGAATGAGTTGCTTCAGCCTTGAGGAAAGAGAAGATGAGAAGAATATGAGCTTGGGGGTAAATCTCTTATTCCCAGACTGTCTATTTTGGGTTGTTCTCCCCTCTTTGCTTTCTCCTTTTACCTTATTCTTTAAAATGTAATGCATTTGACTAAAATTCTGAAAGAGGATATGTACATCTGTATAAACAACACAAAAGGGACCTTTTTGTAATGAATACTGACGTTTTACCTGCTTTTACAAGTACTAACCTCTACTTATTTATTGTAAAATGGGTATCTTCTTATTTTTGTTTCAGTTGCATAGTCAAAGTCCTGCCTATTTCCTCTACGAAATGAAATCATAAAATCATAGAATCATTTAGGTTGGAAAAGACCCTTAAGATCATCAAGTCCAACTGTAAACCTAACACTGCAAGTCCACCACTAAACCATGTCCCTATTTTAATCCTGTTAGCATGGTGGTTTAAGTGCAGCTGGAGTGCCATGAACTTGTATTTCCTCTTTTTTTTGTTGTTCTTGGCTTACGAAGCACTAATAAAATTAAGTTCCAGTTGCTCAGTCTTATTGTTTCTGATGAATGAGCTGGAATCTAATTTGACATAGGTATTTATGTTAAAATATAGAGGGGCAGTGGCCAGGGGGAAGAAAAGATAGAATTGAAAACATTTTATTTGCCAGTCAGATTTGTGAGTGCTCCTCAGAAATGTGCTTGAAGGTTAAATATTTTCATGATGTGGCAGGGGTTGGAAATTCTTTGCACCAATGTGTACAGTTTCAGTGCCAGTAAATGTTTGCAAGCTAGTCTGTGTCCACAGATCAGAAATACATATTCAGTTCCCCCATATTCTTAATTGCTTTCTTCTACTTTCCATCTGGCTTTGTATTTCTTGCTGTTCTCTCTGGTCTAACCCAAATAGTCTTACAGATTGTTCTGCCTTTATTTTAAGGATCATGTTTATGATCATCTGTTCCCTCAGCTGGAGTCAGCTTTCCTGGCTTATGTCTGTCTCCTCTCATCATTACCTACCAGCCCTACTTTGCTCCTCTAAGTTTAGCTGTGTGGATAGCGTTTGTTCCTGTATGAATGTTATTTATTTTATGGCTCTGCTATGTAGGAGACTTTTTGAGCATACATTGAAGTGTTATGGTTGCAGGAGAGCAGAATTTAATTGCAGCTATATTCTATAGTGAAGATAGATCAATCATTGGATTGATCAAAACGTCAGTCTCCCTATGTGGTTGTCACTGGTTCCTGTCTCCTTCTGAGCTGTGTGATCACATCCCCTGACTCTTCTTTTTAGTGTGAAAGGAGTCTGAAAAGTCAGGGCAGTTTTGTTAGTATATATGGGAACAAGAGCTTTTTTTTTTTTCTTATATTTTTCATTCTTTCTTCTGTTTGTTCCTTCCTTTGTTAACTAAACACAGCCCAATTCTTGCTATAAAGATGCTAGCATTGTATCCTTGACCAACATCTACACAACCTCAGCTGTTGTTGCAAAAGCCTCACCTTGTGTCTCAATATGGGCACAGCTGATAAAGCTCTGGAGGACAGTGGGCCATGTATACAGAAGAAATATGAAGAGGGAGAGTTTTCACATCAGAATTGGCTCTATGAAGTAGAAGAACAACTTGTGCTGTTCATCTAGTAAGCGTGCTGTTAAATTATGCAGCATCATGCACCCCTTGATGACTGTTCTTCGTCTTTTGTAGGCTCGTGGGGAGTCCTTCACAGAGTCCTTTTTAAGGTGTTTTTTGAAGATAGCTCTCATCTCTGTCTTTTGTGTGCTTGTATTTTATTTTAAAGTGTTTGAGTCTGATTTCGTTTTTCACTCCTGGTGCTGTCTTTATCTGGAGCTCTGAGTATGTGACTCATTGTCAAACCGTTGTTGTGCTATGCCTTGAAGAGACAGAATGGAGCGTGATACAGGCATTCATGTCAGTCTCTGGTTAAATAGCCAGAGGCCTCTGCTCAGAAAATCTTTTATAGGCAGAAGTTTCAATTTCTTCATTGTGTGAGGGTGTTTTCACAGAATTGTTCTGTATATGTTCAAACCTGCAGATGCATTTTTCCTGGGTGCTAGATAATCCACAGTCCCCAGAACATCTTCTGTATGGTTCTTGTACTCTGAAGTGCACAACTTTTTTACTTGGAAGTCGAATCAGTTTGAAACTCAATTAGCATTTAATTGTGCTTGTGCAAAATTGTGCCATCTTGGACTAAGCGTGCTTGTTCTCTCTTGTTCCTTTATTTAATGTAACAAGCAATTCTAGTATGAAATTTTGTTTATAAAAATATGATTGAATTCACACAAGGAAGTGTAATAATTTTTCCCTAGCACTACCCATCTCACTTGTTCTGTGCAATTTCAGTTTGTGAATTAAACCTCAGAATGATACAGCAGAAATAAAGCTCCACAGCAAACAAATTAAAGATCGGTTTCAGAGAATCTGAACCCCGAGTAACTGGATATTGTAATCTCCCCTGCATCTGTGGTAGCAATTCCTTTTATCCTACTGGACAAAAAAATATGTAACTTTTACATAATATTCCATGCTGCAGAAGCAACATATTGAAACTTGCATTGTTCTTCCCTGGGGACTGGAAACTCTTGACATACGTAGTTTGCAAGATCCTGTACATTGAATGACACTTGTGTTTGATAATTTTTCTTTGTTTGAGAGGCACTGTGTGCCTCTGAAGTAAACCTTAGAAACTGAGAAAGAAGAAACAGTAGTCTTTATTAGGAAATTTCCATGAGAGAGAGACATAGCTGCAATATTATATAATTTATCAAAAATAATAGGAAACTGAATACTTAGGTCAGTGAATGAAAAAACATGCTGGTACAGTTTCTGTTCAGTGCAGTGTTTGGACTTTATATTTCCTTGTATAGCAAAAAAGCAAAATTGCCTTTGAATGATAGGGTTACTTGCACCATTTATTTACATGAACACGTGTATGACAATAATATACAGTAATGCCACATAATGTGACATATATCAAATGGAGTTAATGCAGTTCCTTTTGCAGCAGCTTTGGAGATGAAATTATGGAGGTACGAGTGCATGCCAAAAACTAATTACACAGACACTTATAAAAGATACTTTATATCCCTATATTAATTTGGCAGCAGACTTTTTTACATCCATCTATCAAAATCTCTCTTGAAGGAGAAGATGCAAGTGTTTTCCTATCTTAAACCATGCAGTACTGCAATATTTTAAGCTGTTATGGTGTTTCATCTGTCACTGAAACGAAGCCAGAGACAATGTCTGCTGTGTTGCGTAGTTTATCTACAGCAGTCAGGAGCTGGCTACATCTGGACAGGAGGCACAAGATCTTGAGAGCTGGGGAAAATTCTTGAGGGCTCCTTCATTCTCTCCTGTATCTTATGGATGTTGGTGCAGGAGAGGATCTGGATTTAGTATCTCAGCTGCAAATTTCCCTTCTTATTGTTACGCTGACACTGTTCTACTTGTGGTGATCCAAGGGCAGGGATGAAATGTAGGTGAGTATCTAGGTGTGGTATCTATTGTTGGGCTAGCTAGTATAGCTAGGGGAAAAAAATAGGTGAGCTTTTGGACAACTGAAACCCTGTATTAGAAGCGGCAGATTCCAAAGTTAAATACACATTTGTAATAATTGCTTTGACCTTAATTAGGTATGTATCATTTAAACCATCCTGAAGAAATGGTATTTGGGGGTGTGGATGTTTAGTAGTAGTAGTAGTGGAGAAGGTGAGAAAGGAAGGAGACAGATAATTCGCTACGTGTGAAACATGGGCAGGTTGGGAGAAAGGGAATTGTAAAGCACTGTAAAATGTGGCTCAAAGGCCAAAAACTATAGCATCTAGTTGAATTCCTAGGCCCCTGTTTTGATCGTGGTTTTTTTGTCAGAGGTAAGAGCAGCAGTTCTGGTACAGACGTTTCCCCGCTGTGACTGGGTAGTATCGTCCTGACAACTCCTTCAACAACTATTCTAGCAGCAGAGCATCAAAGACCTTGGCTCCTACAGTTGTATTCTGGCAACTGCTTCATTAGGGCACCAAATGCTGTATGGAAACTGCAGGTGAAACTAAATTGCTGTATACCAGACAACCCTCAAACTGTCAGTGGGAAGAAATACATAATTACCAATTGAGGAAGAGATGAATTACTGTTTTGCTTTTGTGGGTGTCAGGAATCTAAGCTCTTTCTCAGGCCTTTGGGTGCTTAAAGCCTCTAGCTTTTCTACTGACCTGTGAAGAGTGTTAAGTATGCTAATCTGCTTTAATAAACAGTTGAAAAGTGTCTGCGTGTACCATAAAAGACGACATTAATGCCAAATAGCTCAAAGACAAATTCTATTGCTTAATCTGTTTAAAAAATACTCTAGAGCTCTTGCTGATTTCTAGATGTCTGCAGAACTGAACAGTGTAATGCAACAAAAAAAAAAAAGGTTTTTCTATTCATAATTGGTCTTCTCTGGAGCAAACATGAAAGGTTTTGAAAATGTTTAAAACCCGCATAAGCTAATTTGAGTCATTTTATGTTAGAAGATTCAAAGTAGTAGTGCAAACTTTCACTAATGTAAGTTTTGGGGTTTTTTTTGTTGTTGTTTTGTTTTTGTTTTAAGTCCCTACTTACAGAATGCAGCGTGTGACTCCCCTGGGGATTCTATCCCTTGTTCTGAACATCATGTGTGGAGCTTTGAATCTCATTCGAGGAGTTCATCTAGCAGAGTATTCATTTCAGGTAAGCCTGATTGAATTGAAACCTGTAAATGAGTCAAAGGGAGAGAGTTATTTGGGTAACTAGATTAAGGGTGGCTGTTCTGCTTCTTAGTAGAGCATACGTCTTTCCACAAGAAGTGTTTGTTCATCCAGGGAATGTACCATTGATTGCTCACCTGCTAGACTTCATGTGTTTTGTTGTATATTGCAGCACATTGCATTTTATTCTTTTCTAGGGAGATTAAGAATTGGAGAAATATTTTAGTCTTGCCAGGCTGACTGAATTCTTTTTTTTTCCATTCTTGTATTTTGTTCTAGGTGCTTTTGTGTACATTTTTTTTAAACAAATGTGAAACTGTAAACAACTTTTCAAAAGGGAAAAAAAAGTGTCCTGATTATGTGGTGGCACCATTTTATTTAGCAGGAATTGTCACATAAGCCTCAGTTCTTGGTATCTTGTTCAATCATATTGATCTTGCTGTTTAATACTGTTACAGTCAATCAACATAAACTAGGATGAGAGGTACTTGACGAAATATCGTGTTCTAAAATATCAAGCAGTACTTGCTAAAAACTGCATCTGACGTAGTTCTTTGTCACTTCTTTTAATCCAAACAGGAGGACCATGAAGGAATTGGAAATGTGATAGCTTTTTTTCTACCTTTTCTAGCCTGTGTTTTTCAGGTATGTTAAGTGTAAATAAAATGCTTTCTGATTATTTTTATATTACAATATACAAGACAAAATAATTTTCAGCTAAGAGGAGGAACGGTTTGGTTTTTAGTATCCTATCTAGGTGATTTCACTGAGGTATTCCGGTGAAGTGGCGCAAATACAGTTAAAGGCACAATTTAACCCCTGGCAAATTGCAGTTGCAAGCTTTTTCAGTGCTTTCATGTTTTGACATGCCAGATGGGGCTGAGTGTGATAAATAAGTGCTAGCCCAAAGATGGTTTGTTTCCCAAAGGGATAGACACAGTGTCTTTCTGACCGGGGCAGACTTAGTGATGGGCTTTTGTAGCATAACCACCTTGAAAGACTAAGCAAGTATAGGATAGCCACATTATTGAAAATGTTCTAATTTACAGTAAAAATTACATTTAATTCTTGAGACAAATGTAGTTCCTGACTTCCTTAGATTTTTTTTTTTTCCTAATGGATTATTTTCTCTGACGTCCTTATGCAGAAGAGTTTGAATGAGGAAAGTATTGTATACTCTAAATGGGTTCTTCTTGAAAGGTTCCTAAAATGCCTAAAACAGTGGCCCACAACCTTTAACTTGAGGGCAATATGTTGTTTGCAGAATCTTCAATTTTTAGCCTACCATCGCGGGAAGCTGCTGTAGTTGGGTTACTAGTTGACAGAAGGAATAAAATAATGCCTGCATTGTATTCATTGCTTAGTACTGTTGCATTTGGGTAATGGTTTGGGGACCACTGTCTGAAGACTTCTATTTATCTATGGTATTTAAAACTTGAAGAGAGGCTATTTATTGTATCGTAATAGATACAACTTAGTGTCTTTCAGCCTTCTTACACCTCTGTTCACAGCAGAGCTTTAAGATAGAGATACTAATTTGGATCTAAATACTTGATGCAAGTCATTCTTCACAAAGAAAGGCCCTGTCCTGCTTTTTTCCAGTTACTACCTGAAGCTAGAGAAGCTAAATAAAGAACAATTCTCTCTTATCCTTTTGACCTATAGCAGTCGTCTTCACAGAATGCTTGTGCATAAATTGAGCTCAAATGTGAAGTGCTTTCTACATACTGATCTCTACTTGTGTCATCAGCACAGTTGGAAACTGTGACCTTAAGTGAGAAAGCATGATCTGTTACTGCCTGAGTTAAAAAAGTAACTCTTCTGCCAGCACTTTGTGAGTTTTTAGTTTTTTCCTGTATGGGTTGTTGCTCTTCACACATGCTTAGCAAATGGGGTTCCACCTGTTCTTGAATTTAAAAAGAAAAAGAGCCCAAAGCCCCAGCTAAACCTCTTAACAGAAATGATGGTCTTTCTACCAAGTCAAGTCTAGAGAATGAAGTCCTTTACTTATCCCAAGAACAAATACGGCAGAAGCAGATTTGGGTTTACTGTTTTCCCGCTTGAACCTTTGTCTTGCAAAAGTCATAGGTGGTTTTTTGAAAGCTGGCTCAGCTTTTGGGCTCCTTTTAATCCAGGCTGAGACAGGCAGGAGGGATGCCAGTTGTGCTGACAGACTTCGTTTGATATCTGTGCTTACCCAGTAGGGTCTGGGTTGAGGCAACCACTCTGGCTATTCGTGGAGGACCTTTCAACATAGGAGTTGAAGGGAAGCTTTGAGCTTCGTAGTGATCACTGCAGTGACAGGCACATCCAAGCAGCATAGATGTGCCAGCAATTCCCAGTTATGTCTCTTGTCTATATGTCCATAGTTTAATGCTAACACTGTCCCTCTGGTCCTTTTGTAGTGTTACTTGTACCTCTTCTACAGCTCAGCAAGGAAGGTGAAGACGTTTGTACTCTTTTTCTCCGTTTGTTTATGCAACATTTACTTGTACGGATTACGGAACCTCTGGCAAATAGCCTTTCACATAGGAGTGGCATCTCTTTCTTCTTATCAGATACTGACAAGGCAACTTATGGAGAAACAGCCTGACTGTGGAGTATGAAAAAGACTTTGGGATTGCTACTCTATTTTTACAACTTTTTTTGTATTGAACTGGCCAAAAATAGCTTGGAGTATTTTTAAAGATTTGTGACAAGGTTATTGCAAGGAGGATATTTCAAAGCAGCTTGAAATAAAGTAGGATACAGTAATCGTGTCAAACATACAGTGAGGAATGGACCTGTATTTAACATGGCATGTGGTAATTGTGCATGGTAGATCTTGTCAGGTGTGATCAACGGATGGAGGTTCTCCTTACCATAAACAGGCTTTTACTCCTTGACTAATACCATCTAGACAGCATTTTGCCATTTGTCTTACTGGCTTTGTAACAGTTTGGCAGATCAATGTCTCGCCCTGCCAATGCTTCCGAAAATATTAAAATTGTATAGTAAAATGAAGATAAAATGGTGGATAGCATTTTTGTCTATAGAATTTGTGAAGCGTTAAGATTCTTGGTAAATGTGAGTAAAAGAGTCATTTGCCGTCATTAGATGAGTTCAATATCAGTGGGAAAAATTGTTAGGATGAGCTTCAGGGTAATTTTTCTAGGTTTTGAAGGAAAGGAATAGGCTGTGGCTCTTTTAAAAACCATAAAGGCTATAAATATCTCCTGGCTAAACAGTGCATCATAGTTAAGTATATGCTCATTGGCTAATTGCAAATACGCTTGGGGCAGCATAAAATAAACCAAGTGAATGTAAGTGATCTTTCAGCTCAAGTAGCCTTTATTCCCTTGGTTGAGGTCACTCTTAGTATAAGGGTAATTCCATGTTTGCTTGGTCTGTATGGATAATAAATCTTCCAAGCCTACTTATGACAGGCCACTGACTCCTTCACCTTTTAAAAAAATGTATAGCTGGTGAGTAGGAAGCTATTTCCAGTAATGGAAAGCAAGAGCAGGTTCTCTTTATTATATAAAACACCTTTAGTTAATGGTGTTGAATTCTTACACTAAGATGAATTAATGAGTGTGCACTTTTGAATATAGTACTTAAGAGCTGAAATTCATAACCTCTGCTGCACTAGGTATTCTTGTATGTGATGTACTGAAGTGCATATGGGCATTTTAGAACATAGATGAATAATTTAAGCTGTCTGTTTAAAAAAATGCATAGCATTTTGATGCAGCTGTCCTTGAAGGGTTATAGAGACTCAAACTGAGAAGATGTAGAGAACTGTAGGTGTGTTATTGTGGAAGTGTGGTCCTAGATTTTCTTCATTTTTTTCTTGGGAAACTGTTTTCTGGTCGCCCCATTTCTTCCACCAAACGTCTCTCACCAAAGATTTATTTTCCTCTCACATGGTCTCTACTTCTAGTGGTTGCAAAGAGATTAGCGTGATGCAGAGTTGCCTTCCTGAGTTTGCAGAAATGCTTAGCAAAATTACTTCCTTGCATCTCAGTGAATTTTCCTGAAATCTTGTGGTGTAAACACTTACGAGTATCAGCGGACTACTAGACCAGAAACCTGTGTACCTTGGAAGCACTTTTTTGCAGCTGACTGCGACAATGGCATCGATAGGCAGCCCTTCACAGCCTGAACAGTTTCTAGGACATCAAGAGACTTGGTGCCAGAGTAGTAAAACGTAGGTATTTCTCTTCCATCCCATGTTAGCCCATTTACTGTAATAATAACATAATTAATTCCTTTAAACTGTATGGAATACTCTAGTAGGAGTGATGGAGGAATATTCTAGCCAGCCAGTTAACAGCTAGAGCTGTGTGTCATAAGGGAATACTATTCTGTTACAAGGGAGTGGATTAAAGTTGTTTGTCTGTCATTACCCCAGTTTTCTGCCAGAGTGTAAGTGGAGAAATGAAGCCAGAATTCAACCATTGTCTTTAAGACACCCAGATGACCCTACAGATGTGGGGGATACTGACAAGCTTTAAGTTTCCATGCTGTTCAGTCCCAGTTTTACTTGGTGATATGACCCAACTCCCAGCTCCTACCCTTTTACCCTCCATCAGGTTAAAGAGTCGAAAAGAGCTTTACTGGTTCTCCATCGGCTTGGATAAAGCTAGCCTGCTATAGCATAAGGCACGTAGAGCATTTATAACTGGGGCATGGGTCCAGTGAACCGTTACCTGCTTTTTATTCCTTATCCTTGTATTGAGGTGACTGGAAGAAACTGTAATGTTCTTGATGGTTCCTGAGCATCTGATTGTTTGCTTTATCATAAAACAAATACATCCCCATGCCAGCTGATGTTAGCAACAGCTCTGCAATAAGAGTGGTAGAACAAGGTGTTTAGATAGCTTGTGTAATTAACATAATTACAGTGGATGAAGATTAAATTTAGCTTGTGTTTAATATTTTCTTTTTCCTGAAAATGTTTCAGTAAAATCAAACAAAACCACTTGGTTCAGTTCCGCCTTCGTGTAAATTTTTTTTTTTTGCTTGATGGATTAGATGGAGGATGCGACTAGATCTTTCCTACTAAATGAACGAAGCTCTGGTTTGCTGGTAGTCTTAATCCCTTTGCAGCCTTTTTTTTTTTTCCCTGTAGTATTTGTAAACCATATTAAGGAATCTGCATGGATTAATGTAGTGCGTTAGTATCTGCGCACTTTATCGGTTTGGACTGTGATTCTGGGATGAGGCAGAGCATGCATAGTTTGACCTATTTTTATTTTTTATCTTTAATGTTAGTATTTAGAATGGCTCCTATATCTGTATGGTATTTATACAGATAAACATTTTCTTCTGGAGAAACAGCAAGAGGAATAGAATAGTTTACATTGATCTCAGTGCTTTAAGATTTAATAAAAGACAATGACTTGCAGTTTGAGTACATGAAATCTGACTCATAATGTGGGATTATGCCTGTATTGAATCAAATCCCCAGACAGGAATCCATCCCTCTTTGTTTGACTTTAAACTGTTTAATGTAGTTTGAATTGCATCTCCTTAATTCTGTCAGTTTTCAAGATAAGTCTTTTGGAAACTCTTCTCCTCACCCAGCATCTCAGCGTAAGAAAATTGGCAAAGAATAAACTTCATTAATTTAAAGATTTGCAGTGCTTAGTCACTTTATGAAA